CAGAGGTAAAACTATTACTCGTTACTGTATTTTTCGTGTGCAGCGGTTTTTGTTCAACCACGTAACACAAAGCGAGAAACGAATTCTCGGTTCCGCCATTATCAAATTAATGATTCAATCAAATCAACTTCCACGTTCGGAGCGTGCATACTGTAAAAATTTCCAAGCGAAAATGGAGAAGAATTTAATAACTGATTTTTGCCAAATTTGAAAAATTATGGCATTCACTTTTTGTCTACTCTGATCCTCGAATTTGACAAACTCGATTCTTTTATCACTATGAAACTCGCAACTCTTCTGCCTGTACAATATGCTCCGATATATATTTAAAACATGAAAATATATATCCCACATTATACTTATTATCCGTGGATTTAGACACGATTCTACAAGCTATTGTAGGAATGTTACCACTAGCTTTATCGCAACAATAATTCCAGTAATTTCCAACTATCGATAAACTAAGGTTAAACGGAATAGAATTACATCTGCGTTAACAGTCGCGTCGATCAATTCAAAAACCACGCATTGAAACGTTGACGTTTAATTGCAAGGTATGCAATAGCTGGCTGAACGTACCTTCGCACGAAACAAGCCGGCGAGATGCAAATCTGCAGCGTGCACGCCGAGTAAGTTGCAGCATTCGATCGCTATCCGTCACGAACGGTCACGTTGAACGGCGTATAAATGACGCTGACAACTGCGGACTGGGTGGTGGTTGCCGGCAGCACATTCGTACACTAAACATTCACGAGAAGTTGAACACACAATTGCAGCAGGGGCCCGCGTAGCTCGAGAGACGCGCGAACGCGTTCGCACTCGACGGCGGTCGGAAGCGGACTGCCCTTCGTAACGCGCGCGCCACCACGTAAGCGTGCCGGCGATCCTCTCGGAGCTGTTACCCGCAAGGGTAGCCGAACTTGCACGACAACTTTTTTCCAAAAGGGGTCTCCTCGCGCCGTTGAAATTTGAAATCGTGCCACAGTATCTCACAATCGCGAGTTTACCACGTGCACTTGGTCGTTTTCGAAGAATTAAACATGGCGCCCGTGGCTTGTCGCTTGTCACATTTCGTACTTTTCATTACGTTCGAAACGGACTTTCAATGGACCTTGATTGTCGTAATATATACATGGCGTGAGACGATGTTGTCGATCGACGATTATGAAGTAAAGATCGAATCGCGACTTGCACGGATGTGAATTATTACGATGAATTCTTTGTAACGTTCTGCATTCTTGCGACGATATCACGAGCTTGCCACGATATCACACGCGTATTGAAAATATACCGGGTACAAATCGTAAATCTTCAAATATCTCGGTCATTTCGGTAGCTGGGGCGAAAGTACGCGTTATTAATAACATCTGGCGTTGTTAATTGCACTAATGACTTGGACAATTGCACAAGAATTGCAGAGTGCGACGTCACTTGTCCAATCTCCACTTGGCGGGAAGAGCGTAATGGCCGAAATCGAAGAATTCGATATTAATCGACAGTAACTCCGCGCGCCACCGGCAGGGTGCGGTAGTATCGATCTGGCGGCCGTAAGTGCCGCCGCGAAATATGAAATAAATGTTTCATACATTCGTTAATAACGACGAGCTATTGTACGGAATATGTAACAAGAATTATTTCATTGCAATTGATAAATGATAAATGAGCTTACAAGTGTTGAACAAAGTCTGAAACATCAAATATAAGATATATTAACGTTGAAATAATTATTGAATTGATCATTAGAAAATTGAA